GTGTGTGTGTGTGTGTGTGTATATGTGTGTGTGTGTGTGTATGTGTGTGTGTGTGTGTGTGTGTGGTGGTGGGGTGACAGGGTTGTGGTCCCTGCCCCAGACCCTGCCTCGGCTCTGACACACTCCCCGCGAGCAGGACCAGCAACAAGCTGGACTGGCCTGGCCAGAGCCTGTCATGCCCTCCCAGCGCCCCAGGACGGCGGCACCCACGTCCCCTCGGCGCCACGCATGGCACCTCGGGGGCCTCGTCTCCTTCCCAGCTGCAGTACTCTGTCCCACTCGTCTGAATTAGTTTCCGTGTGCCATTAGCCGGGTGTGCAGGGGAGGAGGGTGGCGGGCAAGATGCCATCACCCCAGTCAACTCCTCCAGCGGGTTTTACCCACCCACTCGAAAGAGCCGTGAGGGTTTGGGGTGGAAGGCACGAAAAAAAAGATGTTTTCTGAAATATTGGGTGTGGGGAGGTACTGGCAGGAGGCATTGCCAGCTATGGAGCATCCTTCCTCCTCACCCCTGAGGTTTTCGTGTGCTCCCTGGTGTTGGTGGTACCCCATCCCAGCTGGCCTGTGCTCTGAAAACTGCTTTGGTATTTTTTTTTATCCTGGCTGGGCTTTTGCCTGCGGTTCCTGGCTAAGGCGGTTTGTTGGAGGTGATGCTAATCCAGCCGAAACAGCGGGCCAGGGAGTATTTTTACCACCCAGCTGTCTGGGCATGTTTGGAGCTTGTTGGGTGACCTGATGGGGAGCCGTGCCAGCGCCCCGACTCGGCGTCTCCTCCAGCCCAGCCAGGCCAGGGTGGGAAATTGGTACATAAAAGCCTGAGGAAAGCAGAGCTGATGGGCCCCTTCCTCGCCCCCACCACCCCAGCAGTGGCTCACTGGTGCCCCAGCATGCCAGCCCTGCTGTTGTGTGAGCGTCACGCTGCTGCTGATGCACCAGAACGTGATAGCGAGGACGGTGCCAGGGATCAGGCACATGCCAAGGGTGTCAGTCACTCCCGCGGGAGCAGGGAACCACAAACATGCCAGAGAACACACATGCAGGGGACCACCCACCAGCCCTGGCTATGGCCCCCTACGCTGTGGGTGTCACGGCAGAGGAGGGGCACCTCCGCGGGGTCCTGCACATGCTCTGCTCCTGAAATAACCAATCAAGCACTCCTGCAGTGCAGGAATACGCCCAGGGATGTGCTTCCAGCTGTGTTGTGATGGATGCATGGGGAACAGCAATGCTACCACAGCATCTGCTGTGTCCTCCCACACCGCCTGGCACCCTTGGCCACCCAGGTTTAGCCATGGTTGTTGGGAGACTGCCCCTGTCCCTGGCTGGTTGGTGGCGTAGGGATGTGGGGACACATGGCCCCTCCAAAGCGGTCCCTCTCCTCCAACCTGGGGGAAGGAAGGCAAAGCCCATGCTGGGGGAGCAGAACAATTTTGGCTGCACTGTGTAGTCTCTGCCATGAAAGGACATGGTGGAAGAAAAGCCCTCCAGCCCCTGTTCTCAGCTCAGACCCCAGTCATTTTTCCCTTCTTTCCTTCCTTTCTTTGCACAAAGGATAAAAGCATCCTCCAGATGATGCAGGACTGGGGGTCAGGGCTCTGGGAGGTCTTGTATTGCTCCCGGTCCATTATATAATTAATTTGGGATAGGGCTGGAACAGTGGGCTGTCAGTTGGACACTCATGAGCCAGGCCACCTCCAGGAGCAGCACGTAATTGGGGTGATGAGCTGCAGAGCCAGGACCCTGGGGAGACCTTTCTGCTGCTTAAATACCCCCTGTTACAAAGCCCTGTCAGCCCCAGTTTGCCTTCTGGCCCCTGCCCTCCATTTGCTGGGAGAGCTTGGGGTTTCCCCGTTATTTAAATAAGCTTGATACTACTCCCCAGAGCCAAGCAAAATGGGTAGGATCCCTGAGTGGCAATTATTCGCCAGCCCTTGCCATGGCAGAGCTGTACCCCTTGGGGGCTGTGTCCCCTGCATGGGACTCTTGGCTCTGTCCCCAGACACATCCGTGGCAATCACGCTGAGACTGCCGTGCAAATTAACGTGGGTGAGTCAGCGGGGTGCTCTGGCGCTCCAGGCAGAGCCGGAGATGATACTCACTGGTGTGATGGTGATGACTGAGCCAGGTGATGGCTCTGCAGGGCATGGCAGGGATGGGGCTTCCTGGGAAGGGGGGAAGTAGGCTGACAACCTTTCAGGAAGATGTGGTGGAGGCACCTGTCCCTCGACAGGCACCTGTGGCACCCTAGGTGACGAGAGTGGATTGCCAAAAGCCATGGGATGGTGCTGGGGATGGTGCTGGCAACTGGCAATGACTCAGAGCTGGTGCCAGAAGGAGGAACGGGCAGCAGCTGGCTCCCGAGGAGGTGACTTGGCACAGGTAGGCCCTGACTTCCCGCTGAAGGATGTGCTGCTCCAGTCACCCACGGTCACACCGCAGCATGTGATGAACCTGCTTCTGCCTCTGGTTGCCCAGCACATCGCCTTCAGGGGACCCTGCGGACAGCTACAGGTTTCCCTTTCCCCTCTCTGAGGGCACGTGTCTCCCCAGAGCACTCGCTCCAGGCTTATTGTCCCCTCATGAGCAGTGCCAGGTTCTGTGACCTGTTGTTCACCCAGATACAACGTCCCACACAGCTGCGGGGCTCCACTGGCAAGACATCACGGCTCAGATCGGTACAGACCGCGGGCAGGGATGCCAGGAAGCTGCGAAACCAGTGTGGGCACAACACAGAGACCCTGGGGGACAGTGCCTGGGGGTACACTGCCCCTTGCTGTTGCCTACTGCTTTCCAGGCAGGGTGCTGTGCCCCACGGCACCCCAGCTGTGCAGGACACTCCTGCGTGCCCCCAGTGCTGTAGCAGCAGTGGAGGCAGTGCAGCTCTACTTGCTCCAGCTGCCTGTTTGTGTTGGGCCCTGGACAGGAGAGCCACGGCCGTCCAGGGCTGAGGATGCAAGGAGCCATAACCCACCTGGGAGCAACCTTTCAAAGCAAAACAGAGAAAATAAGGGGTCTTGTGCATCTCCCCTAGCATCCAGAAAACACGCAGCAGGCTTGAAACACTGAAAGCCAGCAGGAAACCACGGGAGCAATCGTTACTTAGAAAGCAGGCTTGGCTTTTATTCGACAGGTATCACAGGTTATTATTTGCTGATGATAAACAAGTGTTTAAAACACGGGAAATAGGTGCTGACGTCGTTTTGTTTTGCCAGCGCTTGCCAGCCCTTTGGCAGAGGAGGAAGAGGGTGAATCACCCCTTGCCTGCCCTGGGAAGCTGTTCCCAACCGCTCCCCATGTACATAGGCAAAGCCTCGGAAACCATTTGGGAGTGAAACTGGATCAGTGGGGTGACCTCATGCTGTGGAAGCTTCTTTCTTTTTCCCAAAAAATGGTGAGCAAAAACTTGTTCTGGTCTCAGTGGCAGACATGAGCTAAGCCCATTGTCTGTTTTCCCTCCTTGCTCCTTCCCCAGGAGCTGCCTGCTTTCCTGCCAACTCCTGCCTGCACCTTGATCGCAGCTTTGGGAAAATATATCCCAGCTGGTGCTTCTCCAGGTGCTCAGCTATCAGCAAAGACATGGTGTGTCTCCATTTACCTGGACAAATGCCCCCTTTGATGGGATTTGCTAGCCCACAATCACATCTGTAGCAACAGAAACACACCTTTGGTGAGGGTCCGCTCACAGCGGGAAGGGGATGAGCAGATTTTCATTAAGTAGGAGTTGCACTGTGTGCAATGCTGCAACTCTTTCACAACCCTGCAGCATGCTTTGATGTGGGCTCTTTGGGAGCCGCCTTGCAACCCAGCCGGCTGCACTAGGGCTGGGGCTCCCAAGCCCAGGTTTCTGAGCCCGGCTCAGCCACTAGCTCGTCCTATGGCTCCGGGCAATGGCTTGAAATTTATTCCATATTTCTTATCTGGAAATGAGCTATCAATATTACCTTTCCCTTGAAAAATAGTGCAGAGTGTGTTGTGATTTGCTAATTATTTATTCCTAGGGGGAAGGAAAAGGAAGAAGTGATGAACCGATGGTATGCAGTTGGGTCCAGGAGGGTGAGCCTGACCCCACAACCTCCCCACAGGTTTTGGGGTGTGCACCCCGAGGAACCCTGGCACAAGGCAGGAGCTCCCGCCTGGCAGTACGGGGTTTTGGGGCCAGGCGATGTATGTTCAGGCACGTCTGGAAGATGAAAGGGCTGATTCCTCTTTTGATCATGAAATTCTCATAAATGTTAATGGCAATTACTTCGAGGTCTAACAAGGGCAGAATTGCAGCCCCCAAGGGGAGGAAGGGGGTGAGGACCAACAAAGCTTTGTCTGGGAAATAAAAGGGCTTCAATTTACCTTGTCCCCCACCTGTGAGAGCAGGGTACCAGTGGCTCAGGGGCTGCCTAGCATTCCTGCAGACCATCCCAGGAAAGGGGGTCCCCAGGTGTCTCCCACCTTGCCCAGCACTGCTGGCACCTGCATGGACAGCCTTTAAGCACCACCTTAACTCTAGGCATCATTTTAACTCACAAATTTAATGCCTTCCTATTGTACAATTTGGATTGTCTTTTTCTTTGTGTTTTTCCCCCCCTATATCTTCCCTTCCTTTTTGCGTCTTTCAGGTTCCCACAGACTTCAAACTCACCTGCTCCAACTACTCGCCACCTCCCCCGGCTGAAACGTGACCTGAAGTTTCCAAGTATCGTTACCTTGGGCATATTTAATTATTTTATTCCCCTTTAGTTGCTAATTAGAAGCCAAGAGTAGAGGGGATGAATAATCCCCTGGGATGTTGAGTAGACACTTGCCTGAGCTTGCAAAGAAAACACCAACCCCCTTGGTATAAAGGCATGAAATAAAAGGATATGATATTTTCCTTGATGTCTTCATAGCCCTGCTCCTGAGATCCAGAGATCATGGTTGTTGATCCTGGGAATGATTCATGCAACGGCTCTTCCCATCCCCATCCAAACACATCTCCCATCCCATCCCAGGGATGTGTATGGGATGGGGGGAGAAACGCTGCTCTGGCTCAGACAGAAAACCTGGGATGGGGAAAGAGAAAAGCCCCTGCAGACAGCAGAGCTAGTTTGCTGCTGTTCAGGCAGCCTCAGTCTTCATCTTCAGAAGTATTTAGGTGTGTAGATGCAATTGTTCATCCCTCTGCACTCCCTCCAGCCATATTATCCTCTCCTCGAGGGCTGAGGATGGTTATTTTTGCCAACATTCTTCCAAACTTTATATCTGAGTTCTCCTCAGGGTTTAGCATCTTGCCACAGGAGACCAAGCAGGAGGATCCCTTGCCAGGCAGATTAGGACATTGTGAATTTTCGGCTAGATTTGAGGTCTTTGCCAAGAAACAGCTCCTGAGTGGGTGACGATCCTTGCACTTGTGTTGTCATGGCCAGCTTCTCCGTGTAACCTGCCTAGAAAGTCAACAATTGGTGCCAAGAATGTTTTGATTATATTATATTATATATAGTATATTATATTCATAGACTCATAGACTGTCTCGAGTTGGAAGGATCCCATAAGAATCATCGAGTCCAACTCCAATATGTTATATTATGATTTTTATATATATATATCTATATCTATATATATTTATATTCCCCTAGGAGCTAGAAAAGAGCAAACACTGGTCATAGAGCATGGCCTTGGCAAGGTTGTGCAGAGCAACTACAGGGTCATGCAGGAAGGCAGACAGTGATGATCTCTTGCTGGATATTGTGACCCCTGCTCAGGTGGCACAGTCAAGTCACCCCTCAAGTACAGCCACACCAACCCCAGCTGTGGCTGCACAGCAGCAATACCTGGGGGCTCAGTGAGGATTATATGGGATTTTCCCCCCTATAAAAGTGTGGAAAGGGAAGGGTCCCTGTTTCAAGCGCTGCTGGGTGGCTGCAATGTGAGCAGGGTGGTCACCAAACTCAGGACTGGATGCTGTACATGTAATATAGAAATGAAGGGAAACGATTTCAATTATAAGAGTTTCAGAGCTAGCAAATTGAATGAGGCAGCTGTAACAGGCAGCATAATTTAACCCTGTTGCAGACACACCAAACCCAATATCATAATTAGAGATGCAAAGTAATATTTACAGCCCAGATCATATATATTTAGTGAGAAGTTGGAATTTTCATCTGTTTGCGATTTTACCACCCTAAAAAGGTCCCTGAGCTCAGTTTTTTTTCCCCCATTTTGGGTTTGTAGAGCCTGGCAGAGTAATACTGGAAGGAGAGCCGGGGATTTTCCCTGGGAGGCAGCAGCATTTGCTGTGCTTGAGCAACAGCCGTTGCCTGCCTGGGTTCACGCTGGTGCTTTGCATTTGTTCTCTGGTACCCAAACCAGCACCCAGGAGGGGAGACCCACTGCAGAGTTGGCACCAAGACCCACACTCACCCAAAATGGATCCACAAAGGGGAAAAAAACAACTCCTCTTTAATATGCCACACGTGGTTGCTGCCTTGTTATTCACAAGTATAATGGCACATTGATAGAGCTGCCAGGAAAACTTGGTAAAAACAATTTTAAAAAGACAAAAAGGCAGTTGTCACATTTGGAGTCGCGTGATCCGACTCGAGCACTGCCTTTGAGAGCCCTCCTTCGCATGCAGGGCATGGATGCTGCTGCCGGCCAGGGCTTGGCTGATGCACAAATAGGGAAGTGCCTGTCAGCTTTCCTAGAAATAAATGAACTTTTGCCTCAATCCAGTGGCCACCGCAGGGAAGGACGGTTGTTCCAGTGCATCTTTTTCCAAACCTGCCTCTTGCTGGGATGGGGGGTGATAACGTGCCAGTGGATGGCAGGTGCCAGATTTGGGCACTGGTTGGAGAGCGCCGTGTATTCGCGGCACCTGTGAAGGTTATCATGTCAAAATTCTTAATACTCAAAATAATGTAAGAATTTCTAAAATCATGACCTTGAGCCAGGTTTACCTATCCAGCCTGTGGGCAGGCAGGGGGCAGTCACTGTGAGGAGAGGGGACCCTGGAGACCCGTAAGGGTCTGGGTACCAAAATCTACACTGGGATGGGGACGGGCATCAGCAGTTACGCTGCAGCTCGGTGGGGGTTTGCGCTCTGACCCCTGCCTTTCCAACCTCCTCCCGGCACCCTGACAGCTGGGTTTTGTACAAACTGATGCATAAGCCCATAAAACAGCAGCCCCGATGCTTTGAGGCCGCTTTTTCCCGGGCAGGACGGATCGTTTTAACACCGGGTTTGGTTTCATTGGCTTGCTGCTTCTCGATTCCTGCTATTCTCGGGTTACAGCTGAGTGCCGGGCTCGGTGAAGCGTGAGTAATGGGGAGCGTGGCGGCTGGTGGGGCAGCGAGGTGTGAGCCTGAGGACAGTGAGGGGCTGCTCGGCCCAAACTGGGTGCTGACCCCGCAAGGTTGCCGGGGCTGGGTGATGGTGTGGGTGTC